TGGAAAGTTGCCGACTCACTCCCGGCTGGAAGCCCTGGGTGGAAAAGTCATAGGCAGGAAGCCCTTCTAGGGTAGATGGGGAATTGTTCCATGCAATGACAGATAGAAATGGGTTCCATGACCCTTGTGCTCAGTTCCATTCCTCGATTGGACTTGGCTTGCCTCTATGACCTGTGACCCTTCCTGGAGTTCCAGCAGAGAGGGATGATGAACAGTCCACCTGCTGGTTTGGTGCAGTTAGAGCCAGCTTTTCACAATGGGACTGTTGGGGCTGAAACTAGCCAGCCCCATGTGAACCAGGCCCCCGGCCACCTAGCCAGCACCTGTACCCTGGTGGCCTAGGCTTGGAACCATACTCCTAGGCTGAAGGTGTTTTCTTGCCTTGCAGAGGCCCGTGTGAATTGTTCCCTTCACCCTCTGTTGCTGAAAAGTTCAGCTTCTTGCCCCAACCTCTATGCCAACTGGCTCGTCATTCTCCTGCTGGTCACCTTCCTGCTGGTCACTAATGTGCTACTCATGAACCTTCTGATTGCCATGTTCAGGTATCCTCCTGCCTCCACCTCTCCCAACCACCTGCCCTCCTAATCCATGCTTCCTCTTAGTAGAGCTAGTTTCAGAGTGCCAACAGAGATACCGTGTCCCTAAGTATTTTCTGTTGTGAAAATATTTAGCTGCTGTGTCCACTGGGGCTGAACCTGGAGTAGAGAGTCAACACTCCAGGTATGGGCACACTATGAGCCCACCCCCAGCTAAGTAGCTGCTGTCTATCCTGCTAGGAGGGAGGGTGAGTCTACAGGGTTGGAGGCTCAGAACTGTGTAAACACCCCCAGTGAATAGGCCCCATGCAGTATAGCTGCGACTGTGATGGAGGGGTGCTGGGCCCCCGTCCTAGTCTCTGTTCTGTTGCTGTGATAGAAACTGGCTGAAAGCAACTTAGGGGAAGGGAGGGTTTATTTCATCTTACATTCCCAGATCAGTCCATGACTGAGAGAAGTCAGGGCAGGAGCTCAAAGAGGGAACTGGAGAGGAATGCTCTTTGCTAGCTCACTCAGGTTCATGTTTAGTTAGAGACCTCTTACACAGCTGAAGACCTCTTGCAGTGGGCCTCCAGAGTGAGCTGGCCCTCCTACACCGATAAATAGTCCTCCACAGACATGCCCACAGGCCCATATGATCTTAGCAGTCCCTCAGCTGTGGTTCTCAGGTGACTCTACGCTGTGTCAAGTTGAGAGCTGAAGTAACTATGTCAGCCTCCATCTCTCTGCAAGGGCTCCCAGCACAGCCTTGCTACCCACTGGATGCAATGGGGGATAGCATAAAGGGACTGGGAGGTGAAGTGGGAGATGAAGGGTGGGAATACAGGATGGGGTGGCTTGTGGGGTTGGGTGTAGATGATGGGTCATGGTAGGATGTTTCCATGAACAGGGAGAGCAGCTTTTGGCTCTGTGTCCTGTAGCTATACATTCCAGGTGGTACAGGGCAATGCGGACATGTTCTGGAAGTTTCAGCGCTACCACCTCATTGTTGAATACCATGGTCGACCGGCCCTGGCCCCGCCCTTCATCCTGCTCAGCCACCTGAGTCTGGTTCTCAAGCAGGTCTTCAGGAAGGAAGCCCAGCACAAGCGGCAACATCTGGGTGAGGTCGCAGGCTGAATACCCCTGATCCTGAGAGTTCCAAGTGTCAGAGGAGCTCACAGAAGGGACCGGGATTTCTTGTCTAGGCCCTTTCTCGGCTAACCAAATCTTCAGGTCCAGACTAGACAACTACAGGACTAGTCTGTCTCCTTGCAGCCCAAAATCCTAACACAGGGCTTATTTCTGCCATCTGCTCTTGGTCTCCCTTGCATTAGCCTAGACCTGGGCTCTGCCCTAGGGGCCCACACAACTCTCTGAAGCTTGCTGCTGTCTCCCACCTTGCCAGAAAGAGACTTGCCTGACCCCTTGGACCAGAAGATCATTACCTGGGAAACAGTCCAGAAAGAGAACTTCCTGAGTACCATGGAGAAACGGAGGAGGGACAGCGAGGGGGAGGTGCTGAGGAAAACGGCACACAGGTGGGGCAGCCTGTGGAACCCTAGAGGCTCAGACTCACAGATGCCATCATTCCTGTTCATGGGCCCAGAAATGTAGAAAGAGATCTGCCTGGAGGCAGGTGGCCTCAAATGCAGCGGGTCCAGGCTGACTTTGATCAGCTGGGTGTTATGAGGGGCAGTGAGTCTGGGACTCCCTGTTGTGAGCATGTGGACGTGGGAGACTATCTAGCCTTTTTAGTAATGGGTGTGGTTTTCTGAACTGCCTTGAGTCTTGATGAGGCCCTCTAGTGCCAGTTAATAGGACCTCTGTGCTGAGGAAACTTGGCTGGGTCACAAGACCCAACACTCCAGCCTCTTGTTCTAGGAGGAGGGTGTATGTGTGTGGGTTGGAAACCTAAGCCCATAACTAGGTATCTTTCTGCAATGGGACTCTCTCTTTCTCCTCCTCCTTTCAAGTCTGAAGATCCACGCCTAGCCGGTGCTGGATGATGTAGGGGCTGTTCCTGAACACTTATATGGATGACCTGTTTTTCTCTTGCTAGGTAGTCTAGTCCAAGCAGGAATAGGTCTATCCTCAATCTCTGGGAGGGTACAGAAGTGCTCCATTTCCATAGACAGGCCCCAGATTTAGATTAGAAGGACAGAAGAGCAAGAGGCAGACTGAGACCCTGAGAGAGCAGTTAGAGCAGGCAAGCTCCCCCTTGTGGAGTGCCATGAAAATGTCACATCTGCAGCTGGTTCTGCTTTCCACAGAGTTGACTCCATTGCCAAATACATCGGGGCACTGAGAGAGCAAGAAAAGAGGATCAAGTGTCTGGAATCACAGGCAAGCCAGCAACCTATTGTCCATTAATCTTTCTGAGGTGGGGCCATCCTTCCAGTTCTGTGGGAACTGCCACAGCCCTGTACCAGCATCCTGATGGGCAGCATTAGGGCCTGGACAGAGTGGAAGACCATGAGCAGGGCAGGCAAGACCTCAGGGCTTATGTGTATGTTGACCAATGCCTATCCCTGCCTCAACTCACTTTTGAGAACCATTGTTCTTCTAGACCTGGTCCAACAAAACCTAGGTTCAGCACCACCTCCTGTCACCATTTCTTATGCTCCATAGGGGAGCCTGGTCCAGAGTGTGGAGTCCCAGGGTAGTAGTAGCACCCGGCAGGAATGGAATAACAAGGGAGGGAGGCCCTATGCCCAAGTCTCAGCACCTCCGTTGGCTCCCTCCAGGCTAACTATTGTATGCTCCTCCTGTCCTCCATGACTGACACGGCAGCTCCAGGAGGCACCTACTCAAGTAAGTGTTGGTTCAGGCCACGGAAATGAGATGGGCACAGGCTCCTCCCTTTAGCCACTCACTCAATTAGGTCAAGAACAAAGCTGCAGGCTGCAATATCAGGTCTTGCCTTCCTGACCTGTGCTGGAGATTCCTGTGGCCCTTGGCAGGCCACTTTTTCTGAGGCATACAGATGCCTGGGGCAGGGCCTTTGTTTCCCAAGGCTTTGTCTAGCACTGGCCTTGCTGGCCTTACCACTTTCCATGTCCTGACCCTTGCCTCTCCCCCTGCCTTGCACTGCCCTGCCCCAGCTGGGACTTCCCTGCTGAGGGTCCTTTCTCCCTTCTTGCTCCCAGGCTCTCAGAACTGTGGTCGCAGGAGTCAGCCAGCCTCTGCTAGAGACAGGGAGTACCTAGAGGCTGGCTTGCCACCCTCAGACAACTGACATGGAGAAACCACTTGTCCTAGAGACCCAGGCCTGGCCATCTTGAACTTTTGGGACACATCAACCTCTCCTCCCCCCCAACTTCCAGCAGCCCCCAGAAATGGTCAAGGCCACTTCTTGGACAGACCACTTCTTGGACATCCCTTCCTATGAGAATCATCTCCCTTGATACCTATTTGGGAGGCCCAGTGTAATCTTCTGAAGTAGGAGTTTTTTCATGTCCTACCTAGAGCTTTTACTGTGTTGAACTGGACACCTGGAACCGGCCAACTCCCTCACAGGACATCATCTGCCTAGGTCTAGCCTGTCTACCCTGAGTTCTTAAGAAACCAACCTCTTAAACACTAACGGTTTCTTTTTGCCCTTAAAGACCCTTCATTGGCTGACCAGCTTCTGGAAGGCAGGGTCCACTGTAATCAGCTTCCACCCTTCTGGCCCCACAGCATTGTGTGCCCATTCTGGCAGTAACCCCAAGATACTATTCAAGGGTACCTGATGGTACTTTATTTTCTATAATGCCTGTAGACCACCTCAACTCAGCTGGATTACAGGGGTCACTGAATATGTATTTCAAACATCTGGGGTGCATGGAGGGCTATCTGACCCATCAGCTGGCATCTTGATTCCTTCCATTGCTCTCAATGAAATGACCACGAAGGCTAGTTCCTCATTTTTAGGAGGAACTCAAGCCCTTCAATGAGGAGTGCAGAGGCTAGGGCAGACTTGATGCTTAGCAGGCTAGGCTAGATATGTTGGTCCAAGTCTATGGCCTCAACATGAAGTACTCACCCATTTATCTTCCCTACATCCTTCTCTTCCTCCCTGGCCCAGCTTCAGCTGAATGATGTAGACATCAGCCTATAGCATCGGCTATGTCCTACACAGAAGTCACAAGTCCTGGAGACATACACCCAGGACATCAGCTATAAGCTGGTTCACAATCTACCCTCTTCCAATAACCTGTAGTCTGCACAGGCCTAATGCTGAGACTGCACTGGTTCCTGGGGGGGGGGGGGGGGCAGATTTTGCTCATCCAGTATCATTAGGGACACAAAGCTAGATGTGGCTATGAGCCCAGTCCCTCTAGGTTCACCAGTGACAAACGTAAATGATCATAGCAAACCTTCTCAGCAGTCTCCATTGGTGTAGGAAGGGCAAGGTGAGGCTGGTATAGATAAGAGTCCTGTTAGTCATCCAGAACTATTTGAACAGAACTCTTGAGTGGGGCCCAGAAAAAAGCCACAAAATTCAAATACTCCAAACCTTTATTATTCACCCCAAGACACTGGGGCACAAGGTCCTCCAAGGTCCCCTGACCCACAATTCCCAGTCCCAGCCAAAGCTGCTGCACACATCCCCTCCTACAGATAGCCCACAGCTTCCCACAGACTGGGCAGGTGAGGTGGGAGTGATGGCACTGCACTTAAACTGAGGGGCCTCTCTCTGACTCTGGCCCCTCTGGGTTACTGTCCCTGTTCCGGAAGTGGTCTCTACTCCGCTTCTTGCTACTGTGGAAACCAACAGCCTCCATCCCTGTGAGGTCTGATGAGGACCCAGGATGAGCAGCTTCTGAAGGTATTGCCACCCCTGGCAGTCCCTGGTGGCCACCCCACTCCTCAGCTTCAGGCCCAGCCAGATGGGCTAGCTCAACAGAGGCCTCACCACCAGCACTTGACACACACCCCTTCTTTAGGACCCTCTTTCTCTCAGTCCTAGTCTCACTGCCTCGAACTGGTTTGGTGAAGACCACTCTCCCCTCCCCACAGCTAGAGGGGTCCTGGTTGAAGGAGGGGGCATACTCTGTGGAGGATGCCTGGCTGTGAGAACTCAGGAAGGCCAGGGCAGCATCACGATTGCTCTGCTCACTGGTTTCAGCCACATCTTCCAGACTGTACTTGGTCCAACGCTCAGGGTGTGACACATAATCAGGGACAGGGAGTACCCTGGTCAGACCAGTGCTCTCACGCATTCTGCTCAGGCGTCCTGCTGGAGTCTGACTTGGGGGAGCCAAAGGCCGCTTGAAGCTGCCATTGTCACTCACACTGGTTTGGGGTGCAGAGAGGGGTGTCTGCCGGGCTGCACTCTCCAGGCAATCAAAGATGCTGTGGCTGCGCTGGGAGAAGGTAGAGCTCATGTCTCGAAGGTGGAACGGCTGCACTGCGGTGGTGGGGACGCCGGTGGGGGGCGAGGGAGGGTCATCAGGGTCAGAATCCTCCTGGCCTTCCCCGGAAAGCCTCTCCGGGGACAATACTTGCACCTCCGCACCACTAGGTAAGCTGAGGTCCGAGTCCGAGTCCGAGTCGCTGAGGGAGACGGTGTCAGAAGGTAGGGTGTCATCCTTCGTGGGTTCCTCAGCCTCCAAGGCAGCCTCTGGCTCCTCCATGCGGACCTGGGACCCGTCCCACCTGCAGCGAAGCAGCCCGGGTTCTGCAATGAGGGGTGTAATTAAGGCCGCACCCTTCCCTACCCTCCCAGGTTCCCCTCTTTCATCTCCACCATGTATCGGGCGCCTCTACTCACAGACGGGCGCTGGCTTGGTCACGCAGGCGGGCGGAGACCTCGCGAAGCTGGGTGGCTAAAATATATCCTTGTGCGCAAAGATGTGGAGCTACAGATTAGGTGGGGTTAAGGAGAGAGTCAACCATGAGATCAGTACAGTGCAGACATACAAGGGATGAGCGGTGGGAGATGCTGGAAGGGGCTCTCCATCAGCCGCTCATCCCATGACCGGCTTTCAGCAGAGCGCAGCCTCTCCGGGTAGACACACCGCAGGCACCACCTGGGTCCGGAGAGAGGGCTGGCAGGGCCAGACACGGGACTAGCCTAGTCGCGGTCCTAAGGAAGCCAATGCTCACCGTCCCAGCGTCCATGCACGCTTGAATACCCTGCCGCCTTTCCCGCAGCGTCCCGCCGGTTCCCCGGGATTCGGGCCGCGGTCTCCGCCTACTCTCGCACGGCTTCCTGGGAAACCGAGTTTCCGGCTGTCTGAATATTGGGTGCTTTAGCGCCTATGGACTACAACTACCAGAAAGCAATGGGTCACTGCCTAATGCCTGTCGGGACCTGTACACTTCACGTCTGCGCAATCCTGAAGACCGGAGCAGACACGGATATCTGCCAGGAAATTACGAAAGAGGAAAAGGCGGAGCCAAAAGCCATGATTCCCACAATACTGCAGGGCTAACTGCCAATCGCAAAGGGTTGAGGCCTCCAGCACCGCCTGTCGGAAGGCGCCTGGGCCGGGTCCGTCACAGGGAGGAAGTGCGTCACTACGCACTGCGAGCGCCAACCAGTGTCCTAGACATTTTCGGCCTTGGCCGGAAGTGGTGGGGGTCTTGCGCTCTGTTGGCTTCCCAAAGTGGGGCGGAACCAAGGTCTTGGCTGGTTCTTGGCATTTAGAGATGCGGTGGTCCCTTGGGTACTGGATGGGTTGCTTAGAGCTGCACAGATTCAAGGCCACTCCCTTAGGCACTGCCTGTCCGTGCGTCCTGACACAGGAACGGACGCTTTAGCTGCTGGACGCCAACCCCACTCTTCAGGGCCACACACAACCCTACTCCTCCACTATCCAGGGCCACACACAACCCTCCTCCAGGCCTGGGCCTGTCCTCTTGCTTTCCTGGGGACCTGAATCTTAGTCAAGACTTCTCTAGAGACCAATTAAATATGCCAGCAGCCTGGGGGAGGGGTGCAGACTTGAGTCTAAGGAAAAAAAAAAAAAAAGTGGTTGCTTATGTCCAGAAGGTTTGAACTGAGTAGGCTGCCACCCAGCTCAATAGAACATTTCCGAGCACCCAGATACTTGGGATGAGGCAGTGATTTCGCCTTTACTGTGTTGTCCCTCAAAAGCAGGGGGTTCTTGCCACCTATCTCCAGCATTCTGTGCCAAATTCCCCAGGTACGTGGCCACTCCTGCCTGTCTCAGCCTGACCTCTCAAGTCCAACAGATGAGTGGAAATGAGGTCAAGGCTAGTGTTAAGGTCAGCATTGGGCTCCCGATATGGGGAGGTACAAATAAGGGGATAATCACGTGAAATACTCCCAGGGTCCCGGCCCTGCCACCCAGTATGTTCCACAGCCTCTCTTGGACCTGCTCACCCTGTGCCTGGAGAGGTTCAGAGCTGAGCCAGGTCTCTTGACACCACTGGCACAGGAAAAGGTCTGGCAGTCCCATTAGCATGCCTGATTTTCTCCTCCTTTATTAAATGACTGTTTCAAGATGTAATTACAGTTGAAGGTGACACGTTAGAAAGAACAGGTGCATTGAAGGCAGTAAGAGTGCTTACAAACCCAGCTCTTGAAATGGGGGCAGGAAAGGGAGAAGGATTAAAAAGATGTGAGCAAGGAGACCCCACAATGGGCAGAGTGGGTGGACATGGCCCTCTAGCTCAGCTGCGTAACCTCTGGGCAAGTAGCTGTGAGGGAAGTGTGGCTCAGCAGGCAGAGATTCCCAGGAGTCCAACAAGTACAGGGGCCTGCAAGCCAGGGCCAGCTCCACCTCTACATCCCCACATATGCCACCTATGTGTGATGCCAGCCCCCGATACGTAACAGGAAAGGTTCAGAACAACAAAACCCTCAAAAGTAAAAAGGCTAAATGTAGCAGAGTAATACAGAAATATTATATACACAGGCCACGGTCCCCAAGGTGGCCTCTGGTCACTCCAGGGGTGGGGCGCTGCAGGGTCCTCTGGTGCAAAGTAAAGGGCTTTAGTACACAGAGCTGTTCCGGATGCCACAGCACAGCACCATGCTCAGAATCATCTCAAAGATCTGCAGGAGGGAGGGACATGTATGGTCAGTACCCAGGATTCTGGAAGGGGTGGCACACCCACCACCCATCCGAGGCCCTGTGCTCACCATGATGACGGCTACCACAATGGCTGCAATACCAATGAGGTACAGCTTCCCAGAGAAGAGCTCATCAATTTTCTGATGGCAGTCGCTCTGCAGAGATAGCAGAGGGTAGTTAACAGTCAGTGGTAGGGCCTATGTCCCACGGCTTATCTTCTGTCCAAAAATAAATTTAATAAACACGGACCTGCTGCCTATGGCCTCTATCACAGGGTAGTACTCCTGACCTCACTAGTACCGTAGGGTCACCAGTGTGTGTGAGAGACCATTCAGGAAATCAGTTTTCCAGGACGTTCCAGGGGAAACGTCAGCTGTCAAGATCCTGTACCCCACTACCTAAGATGTTCCATGAGCCTATCTGAGGTCCTGCTTGAAGTGCTGATCTCCCTGGTGGGTCAGACCACCCAGGATATGATGCCCAACCCCATTCGGTGCCACCTTCATTAGAGTGTTGAATATGTTGCTCCCCGAGGGACACAGGCTGTTCCTCAGCACAGAGGTGGTCAGCGCAGTCAGCGTGCTGGAGCCACAGCAGTTGAGCTGCAGAAAGCAAGAGCATCATGTCAGCTTTGGAGCTTCAGGAGACAAGGGAAAGGTCAGGCACACAGCACAGTCAACCCAAAACACCTGGGAGCACAAGAGCCCAATTTCTCCTGAGGCCCATTAGGTTCCTACCCGGAGACCTACAAATCACAGAGACTGTTGGCCATGCCCTGTCTTGCTGCTGAGATCTGGGAAGAGATAGGACTCATCCCCCCACACACGCCAGGAATCCCACAACCTGCCAGCCTGCTCCAGCCCAGCTGTACCGTCTCATGGAAGGTCTTCACCACAGCCTTGGCGTTGTTGGCATCATCATCCACCACAGCCTGTTGAAGGGCCTGGTCATAGAACTGCTTCACATCCTTGGCGATCTGGTAGAGAATCATGGCCACAGGGATTACCACACCAAAAGCACTCTGCTTCCCCTGAGCCACCTCTTCCACTGAGCTCCCAAGACCCTCCTAACCAGGAGGACCCAGAAATTCAAAAAGCACCCTATAACCCATGGGCTCAAGCAATCCACACTTGCTGCCTGGGCAGAGGGCATATCTCCCTCCCCTGTGAACCTAGGCTTACCTGGTCTTTGTTTACGAAGCCCCAGATGCCAGCCGCCACCTCACAGGCAAACAGGATCACAAGGCAGGTAAAGAACTAGGGGAGAGAAAGAGTCAGAGCCTCGACCAGCAAGCTCAGGCCTCGCTCTCTCTTTATAGGTACCCACACAGCCAACAACTATGAGCCAACGAGGTTGGTGATATCCACCCAACAATGTCCTGATTAAGAATGGGCCACACAAAGCCATGAGACAGAGCCTGATGCAGCCCTCCACTGAGATGTCCAAGTTCTTGTGACCTCACCCTGCTTCCGACTCTGCAGGATGTGGCTGGTACAGGAGATGCAGCTGACAAATCCAAGTGTCCACAGGCTTCAAGGAGGCACATGCAGCAATATGACCCCAACCTTGACCTCAGTTTCCTTACCCCCTTTATCCTACACCCGTGAGAAGGTTAAATTATGAGCTGTGCTTCAGTTTCTCCAGCTTATGATACTGGCAAGGCCTCCTTCCCAGGCTAGCCAGGCTCTAGAAGGCACATCTAGGACTCAGCTCCACCAGTAGTTGGTGTTGCCAGGGGCACTAAGGCTGGCTTTAGGGGTGAGACAGTCCTCTGAAGAGAAACTCCCTTTTCCAACATGTGTCACCAAAGACTCAATGGAAATCCAGAAAACAGAAAAACCAAAGCCCTGGGGAAGCCACAGAGGTTGCCAAAAACCCTGCTTTCCAACCCTGCAGCCCTTCCTACTTACCGTCCCCAGGAGGCACTGGGACTCTTGGATGGCTCCATAGCACCCCAGGAAGCCCACAAACATCATCACAGCTCCCACAGCAATGAGAATGTAGATGCCTGGGGAGAGAAGGACCTGAGTGAGCAGACTGCATGCATCATTGCCTGAGACAGGAACACCCAGCTCACACCCACAACAGGCAGAGTTTGGCAAAGTGAGCTGTTTGGGCCTCAGTGTCCTGATGGCAGAGCTGCCACTGCCACCAGAGGATAAAAAAGCAATCCAGTATCCAGAGAACATATATGCACTTCACAGGTATGTTCTGCCCTGTAGCCAGGCACCCACCACCTGCACCTGAGAACCCTCAGCACTCACTGTAGAGGGCTGAAATGGTCTACCCATCTCAGTGCATGAAATGGGGAAGCAGCATGGGTGTCGGAGGCAGAGGCCCAGGACTACCAATGAACGCAAGGGACAAGCTATACCAGTAACCAACTCCAGGTACCTCATCTCAGGGACACTGGTGTATTAACTCTTCTGCTCACCTAACTCTAAGGGACAGCAACCTACGGGTAGGTGTCTGGAGGGCTGACAGGATGATAAGGGCAGCTTGAGCAGAGTACCCAACACCTGCCACTGGCTGGACTATGAATTTACAGGAAAGCACCGTGGTCCATGAGGCACCAGCTGGGCCACGTCCCTGCCTCAGTGCCCACAGTACCCCTCAGCCCCTTGGAAAGACCACGGTGTCTCTGATGAGCCCTGTATCTCTTGGTCCCTCAGCAGAGAAACCCTTCCCCCAATCTCCATGGTAACACTGAAGGGCAGTCCAAGATCCCTTGCATAAAGCCAGGCCCATTGTCCCCTGCCTGGACAGCCCAGGGAAGAAGGTGCCATGGCCAGGACCTACTGCCAGGCTTAGAAACAGGCCAGATCCTTTGGCCTCACTAAACACATCTGGTCCAGGAAAAGCCTCCCACCAGAGCTGCCTGGAAACTGGCTTTTCCTCTGCCTCCCAAAAGGCAGAGCACCTTCAACCACGGCCCTGTCCTCAGGCCCTGAAACTCCAACCTCAAGATGAGGTGGGCTCTTGTCACTGAATCAGGCTCAGCAGGAGGATGCAAACAGGGCACCTGACCCATGGGCACTGTCCCAGGGCTTCCTAGGCTGAGGCACCCTCCTAGGCCTAGCACGTGCCCTATCTAAAGCCCATGGGGTGCTATCTGGGATGTTAAGCAAGGCCCCAAACTAACTCTCCTAAACACAAGACAGAATGCCTTTGTCAGGGCCACATCTGCTCCTAATAGAGCTCAGTCCAGGGGCGATAGGGGGCTCCAGAAAGCCAATTCAGAATGGGCAGGGACATGGCAGCCAGAGTAGTTCCCACTCATAGGCCATGGGTGGCCTTGCTGTCCAGTGCCCACC